TCATACTTTTAGATACGCTGTTATTTGTAAATGCTACTGCTTCTGTTAGCTTTTAATATACGGTTTTATTCTGAGTAAAGCTTTAATACAGTTCGGCAACTGCACGCGCGTCCATGTATAGCGATTCTCATAGCTATAGTATGTGAAAATAAGTGTATTCACTGGTCTGATGATCTGAATGAGAGAGAGAGAGAATAAAACTTAAATTGTATACAAAAAAATTATTATTATTTTTTTTTTATAAAAAGGAGCTGGGGCCAGTTGCACCAGCTGTACGTAAGTTACAACTTACGCACTACTAAATATTTTTTCGTTGCACCATTACACGTAGTTGAAGTGTAACTCTACGTATAAACTAAATATTTACGGAGGCGTCTGGTCAGGAGTAACGGTTGGAGTAAAATAGCAGACTGAGTGAACTGCATCAATATGCTCTTCATTTACCCGTCAACCTTCAATCATTTAGGCATATATGATGCTGCTGACATTTACACTCACGTACCTATTAAGAGAGAGAACAATATGTGAATAAACGTACTTTGTTTCTTTTTTAGCGCATCTTCAACACCCCATCTACAGCGCGCCTCTGTGTGCTTCGGTCCGTGTTGCGCATGTCAGATGAAATAATAAATAAATGGCACTTCTTATGTTTTTTGTTTCTTTAAGTATTTATTGATCCTTATTTATTTCAATTACAGTTTCTGAATGTTATTTACATATAAAAATAGCTTACATATAGACTAATGTTATTAATGTATCGTTTTTAATAGAAACTTGTTTATATTTTTACCGTTAGTATATGTGAGGCAAAAGAAGTTAGAATGAAGGATAAATTAAAATTCATAGCATTTAAACAAGTTCTGCTCGTTTAGGTTTCTATTGGATGATTTAGGGTAAACGTCATATTATGTGACTGCGCATTACTTTACGGAGAGTTTATGAATGACTTGCTACGTCCTGCCTTACGAACAACTCGTGCAACCAAATAATGTATAGATTTATTTACAATCTAACTAGTAGTTGCTAACCCTCTAGTGTGGACTTAACGTTCTAATTTAAGTAAGAACTTACAAATAGCTGGTGCAACCCTACCCTGGAAAATAGTAGGCTTGATACTATAAAGACTCCATAAATGTTTCCAAAACTGAATTATTAGGTGTTTTTTTTGTTGTTGTTGGTTTGTTTTGCCTTTTTTTTTTTTTTTTGGTTGCTGTGCTGATGCTGAATAGGCTGGTGCACTAAAAAAACTAAAGTTTTTGCAAAATTGCTAGTAAATTTCAGAAGTTGACAAATAACATGAAATTTAGCTAAATACTAAAAGAGTATTTTCTTGTAAAACGTACAGCACTTCAGTAATCTTTGTTTTATTTACATCTTCGTAAAATCAGTTTTTACAGTTGCTAGGAATCAGACCACTGATATGACATTTTTATTTTTCTAAGTGTTGTGAACTTTTAACTGTCCAGTTTTCTATTTGAGCTATATTTAACTGGGAACATGCCTGTACTGACTCCTATTTTGTGGGAGCCCTGTATTGTGCACACTCCCCCACTGCCTGCCCTCTGCATCTGGGGACGGGAGACGGACACGACGGCCCCCTAAAATTAATGAGTGGGTGAATGAGAGACAGAAAGGTCTGAGAGAAAATGAGGAGGAGGTGGAGGAAGGCGAGGAGGCTGTTAAAAACGGGAACGAGAGTGAAACAACTCAAAGAGAGCACGAGAGAGAAGATCAACCGCCCCCATCAGTCGTGCCGCTCTCCTGCCACGTGAATGACACCGCATATGTAATCGAACCATAACCATGACCAGAGGAAAGTTACACCTCTATCTCTCCTCCTCTCATTTCCTCCATTAATGTCAGTCGCTTGTGCTGTGACTGCTGAGGATTGGTGTCATCTTGGCAGAAACATGAGGATCCGAGCAGAGGAAGACATTTCAGAGCGTAACGTGAGTGTTGATTAATGCTGCACTGATGATGTATATGACGTCCCGGAGAAGATAAGATAAGGAACGGAGCTGCGGTCTGCCAGCAGTCGTCACCATAATGAGAAGGTTAATCGAAATGTCCAGCGTTGAATTACCAAACCAGACAGAAGTGGACCTGAGTATGATTCCTGGTAGGGCTGCACAACTAATTGACAAATTAATTAATCACACACGTACGTTGTGTGCAATGGAAAAATGTAAAAATCTATAGTAATGACAGTCGGTCCTAATGAGCGAGGTTTTCGCTTTGAAAATGAGAGCTAGACATTCAGAAACAAGGAGATAATCATCGTCAATAATTTGTAATTGTTTCAGATTCACTTTATTCAGTCTGCTTTGCTCCCATTATTATCAACAAAGCAGCATTGACAGCATTGTTGATTATAATGAGACGGGAGCATCGAACGGGACATAAAATAAGCATTTTAATGTAAATTCTGTTCATTGGAATTAATAATTATAGATACAATATCAAGGGAAATAATTGTCGGTTATGATTGTTGTCAGGTTGTGCAGCCGTAATACTTCAGTTGGATGTTTTGTAGCATGGAGGAGGCCTTTTGCGCTGGTGTCGGGCCTGGAAATGTGGAGGCTAAACCGGCAGCACTTGAAAATACAATTCAACTTTAATACTGTAAGGTGTTTGTGGATCCTCTGGCTGGTGTGAAGTGTTTGATGTCTGCTAGGAGGGTCATTCCTGTTATGCAGTGCCTTTTGAACTATGTAACTTTTGAAAAATGAATATGCCTGTGTTGTAATATATGGAGGTGGTTAGACCAGACATTCAGAAATATAGTGTGCTCTTGGCAAGTTGATGCACTTAAAATTGTATTAATAAGCTATTTGCACAATGGCAAGAAATTTAGCAGGATGCCTGACAGCATGGAAATATGTACAAGTTTTAAAAAACGAAATAAAATGAGAAATAAAAAAAAAAGGAAATAAAGATGAGAGTGTCGTATTATTCATCTTATGCAATTTTGATAGTATGATTTTAGTGCTGTAATTTTACAGAATATAATGTTGTGAGGCAAATAAACTGATACCACAGGAAAAATCCATCCATACAGTGGATTCATCCACAAAATCTATTGAAACAGTAACATTATTCAAATCTACCCCATGTTTACTTAGTTATGATATTGTGATAAAAGAAAACTATAGAAGGAACTAATATGGTTTCCTTTTAAAAAAGTAATTTGATATGTTTAACATGTTGATTTGTTAAATGAGTTATAAACCATACACTACCATTCAAAAGTTGTCAATAAGATTTAGTTTTTTAAAGCCGCTTATGACTGCATTCATTTGATCAAAGAGTAAAACGGTCAAATTTTGAAATGTTATTACAATTTAAAATAACTGTTTTCTATTTAAATACAGTATATTTTAAAATGTAATTTATTCCTGTGAAGGGAAAGTTGAATTTTCAGCATCATTATTCCAGTCTTCAGTGTCACATGATCCTTTATAAATCAGTCTAATATGCTAATTTGGTGCTCAAAATTTTTAATTATTATTATTGATTCTTAAAACTTTTTATTATTGATTCTTAAATATTTTGTTGAAACCGTGATTTAAACTGATGAATAAAAAGTTCCAAAAACAGCATTTATTTGAAATCTTTTGCCACATATAAATGTCTTTACTGGCATTTTTCCTCAATTTAATGCATCCTTGCTGAATAAAACTAATAGTCAAAAGCAAATAAATAAAATACTGACTCCAAACTTTTGAACGGTAGTGTACATTTTTTAGGCATGGAAATGTGCTGCATAACAGGATTGGCCCAGGACCCTGAAGCTGGGGTTCAACAGAGATGCTAGAAAGAAATGTGAGGAGAATGACCTGTTTGCTATGAACTCTTCCTCTCGACGCTCTCAGCATCTTGCATTGAGCATTTTGTTTGAGAGCAGGCAGCCCAGGCAGACAGAGATATACATCCTGGGATGTCACTACAGACAGGCCAAGATACCTGTATTGGATGTTTGATCTTA